CGCGTTGCCAGGGCGCGCGGGGCATCACGGGAAGGGCGGGTCCTGCTCTCGCGAGATTTGGCGGGCGGAGGGGAAGGGCTGCGCCCTGAGAACATGGCGGGCCTGGGGAGGGGATGGACACCCAGTATTTGCGGTCGTTCAGCTGCCTTGGGGCTCCCTCATCGCCTCCCAGCGCGGGGAGCCTCGGGGAGAGGCCACGCGCAGGGTTCTGGCTGGGTATGGCCGTCGTGGTGGTGCCAGCCAGAGCCCTGAGGAACAGCCGAGCCCGGTTGTGATGAGGGGTCCCCTCAGAGCCATGGGAAGGGTTTCAGGTGTAGTGATCCGCGTAGGTGGTTTGGAAAAAAGTTCTTGGAAGCCCACACGTTAAAAAAAAAATTAAAATTGGGGAATGGCCTCTTGAGAGATATAAAATACAATATTTCACGTATTTTTGCAACTTTTTTTAAGTGATCTTTCCTTAAAAGTAATTTTTAAAGTGTGTAAGTTTCTCCTTTTGAAGATGCTGTGGGCCCTCAGTGCTCAGTGAGCATATTCGGTAATCTTATTAGTAATCTTTTTCATGTGCTCAGATATCTTAGAGGTATTTTTCAACCTAAATTATTCTACTTTTGTACTAATTTGGGAAAAAACTGGGCTAGAGAATGACTAAATTATCATCGTTCCTTAGGGTTCTTTAAATCTTTTCCAGCATTAAAAAATCCATAATTTTTTGATTTGTTTTATTTCCCTGACCAGGTTCATTACTGTCACCTTGAAGGGAAGGCAAGAAAAGCTCTAAAAATCATTAAAATTCCATTGAAAAGGGAAATAATTCCACAGTGCCCTTCCTTTGCTGTGTCCACATCACAGGAGTGAGGAGTCACACAAGACAGAGGCCACCAAGGCCGTTTGATGTTATCAAAGAGCTGCTACAGGATGGGTTTGAAACAGCTCCACATCATGTGGCAAAATCCTGGAGTCATCCTTGCCCATGGAAAGGCCTCGTTCCTCCAAGGACACGGTGACACAAAGGTGAGAACCTGGTGTGCTCCACTCTGCCTCAGACCTGACACCCCAAAATAACCTCACCAAAAATAACCTCCAACCTGCCTTCCTTGGGAAATGTAACCCAAAATCTCTATGTTTACTTTCTTCCACAGGGATGAAGAGCTGGTGTTTTCAGTCTGGTTTTTTTTTTTGCTGTTCCTCAGGTGGCCAAAATGCTGTTGCTGGTGTTTGGTTTGTTACTTTTTTCAAGCTTAGAGTGACTCACACACTTCCATTTTGAAAAGGACCTGTAAAAATGGCACCATAGGGGCTTTGTTGTTTTGCTTCTCCATGAGGTTGTACCAGGGCTGGCTGCAGCCACTGATGAGAACATGTGCCTGTGTTTGGAAGAAATTCTGGGAATCTTTACAGTTGCATCTCTTTCACTGTCCCACAGCAAAGGAACAAAAAGAGAGGCAATCCTGCAGGAAGGACAGCTGGAATACATGGCTGAGATATAACTTCCCTCTGTGTGAAGCTGATTTAAGGGCTTAGAACCCCTTCAACTTCTTTGACTAAGCTCCCACATGGTCAGTTAACAAGGATGGAGATGTTTCTCCTCCCTACAAGTCCTGCAAAGTTGGAAACTTAGAATTTATTTTGCAGGCTTGGAGGGAGAGTGGTGCTTGGTTTATTTATCATCACTGGTTGTGATCTATGTTCTTGTTCCACTGCAGTGTCATGAGATAATTAATACTAAAACACCCCTGCTTGTTAGTTTACATGTTTCTGATGCCTTTAAAATCAGTAAAAAAGGGCTGATGACATTGCACAGGGGAAAACAGAATTTAATACATTTGTCTTGCATCCAGAATTACTTGGCAAAGCTGATGGTGCACAGGGGACCCGACTCCAAGACTAAAACCAAGCCTTGCTGAAATCTGAAAGCACAGATTGCACCCTGGATGAATGTGGGCAGGAGCTGGATGAATAAAGAGGTATTAATTCTTACTGCATCTACCATTGAAGTGGAATAGAAGTGGGCAAGTAGGATGGAATTAATCTGGTTTTCTCGAGACCTTTTTTTTTAGGGCTTCACTCATAGCAACAGTTCACCTAAACCCATTTCCAATACTTGCTGTAATAGAAAAAAAACACCTTTGTCATGCAGAGAAAGGCAAGACCAAAACCACATCTAAGAAAAAACATTTGAAAACCCCCCACCACCACAAAACTCACTCTGTTATTTGACTTCTGAAACAGGTTCCAAAGAGCAAGTCCACATGTGTAGGATAAGATCAGGACATCAATACATAATGCTTGTTCTCCATCAGAGAGATTTAAATTTATCCTGTCAACATGAGTTAATTAATAATTAAAAAGGGCACTGTGATCCTTATGTGGGAGGTCTTATAAAACGAAAATTCAAGCAATTTGAGATCAGTAGATTCCTGCTTATTAAAAAACATGTTCAGGGATTTATTCTATTAATGTTTCAATTACAGTTTAAGCAGCATCTGATGTGCATTTAAGCATTATAGAAGCTGTGACTGCCCCATCCCTGGAAGTGTCCAAGGCCAGGCTGGAGTAACCAGGGATAGTGGAAGGTGTCCCTGCCCATGGCAGGGGGTGAAATGAGTTGATCTTTGAGGTCTCTTCCAAACCATTCTGTGATTCCTCTTGCTGATCTTCTGACTCTTCATCTTCTCTTGAATCCTCATGAGGGAAGTCTCATATGGTCCTTCTCACATTGGTTTTCTTTCTAATCCAACTGTGCTGTCTTGAACTTCACCTTTTCAGAGCTAACATTGGGTTTGCCCTATGACAGGTCACTTTAAATGTCCAAGTGGACAGACATTTGGAATTAGAGTCCAACTAAAGTCAAACCAGGCCAAAATAAACTGCATTCTGGTCTAGCACAAGATTAGCCCTTAAATAAATAGTGAGGAGCCGGAGCAGTCTGTACAGCAGATGGCATTACAGGTAATATTTATCACACTCCAATCTCAGGGCTAAGATACTTGGGAGGGAGGATTGACGTCAGCTACGAGTGAATCAGTTTTAAAACAAGCTGGAAACCTGCTTGTGCCTTCAGCACTGGATTACTTTGTGCAGCACTTCTGCTTTGCACTCCCAGGTGCATTTATTGGTCTGAGCAAGCCTAGCAGGAAGAGCTCATTCTGCTTTTGCAGCTTAAGTGAGCTGATGTAAATAGATCTTGGACTTTGAGGTGGGAAGATTCCACCCAGCTGCAGTAACCAGGGGGATGCCCTTTGCTCCAGTTTTTGTGCCAAATTTGTGCATTGGGGAATTTTAAAGAAATATCACTTGGCGGGATATCGACTCTGAGGGTACAAGAATAACACTGAGTAAGGCAGCAGGGCATGGGCTGGGAGGGATTTACAGGGAGAGCTATCCAGACTGACACTGAGCAGTGGAGAAAACCAGTTCTGAAGTATTTTATTAAAAACAGTTGGGTTTTTGTCTCACAGGATCCCAGAGAAGATCCTCTGAATGAAAAACCAGGAGCAGTTTTTCATCTGGGCACAGCGTCCTTGTGCAGGAGTGACAGAGTTCATCAAAGGTTACTAATTACCATGTAAATCATGAGGTTGTCTGGCTGTCTGGACAGACTTGGGTGGGTGACCTGGGGTAGAATCATGGGGTCATTAAGATTGGAAAAGACTTCCAAGATGAAGCCCAACCTTTGACCAAATACCCCCATGCCCACTAAACTGTGTCACAAAGTGCCACATCTACTCATTTTTTGATCACTTCAAGGGATTGTGACTCCACCACTTCCCTGGGGAGGCTGTTCCAGAGACTTTCAAGGATGGAGGAGTGTGAAGAGCTCACAGTGTGCCTTGGCTTGGGAGCACTTAGGGAAGCACAGAGTTGTGCTCTGCCAAATGAGTTTGTCAGCCCTGAGCCCACGATGTCCCTCAGCATTTGAGCCATGGCTACTGGGCAAAGTGGCACGGAGAGAACCCTTCCAGCCCTGGAAAACTCAGCATTGAGGCATGGAGAGTTCATCTTTAGCTGGCGGGGGGATCACATGCTGAGCAGCACAGCCAGGTAATGCAGGACAGGTCACCTTGCACCAACCTGAGCTGCCTCAGGGCACTGCAGGCAGCAGCACAGAACAAGGGGTTAGGCCAGGCTGGACTTGAACTAGACAGGACCTGGGCAAGGAGGAGGAAGAACAAGGAGGAAGAATGAGACTTGGGGAAGGCAAAGAATGATTCTGTGGGGGAAACTCTGCAAATATGTGCTTCCTTTTGCCGATAAAGGAGGGTGTGAGGCACTGAGATGAGCTACCTTGTTTGTCTGCTCTCACACCCTGCCAGGCCCTGGCAGCAGCACTCCCTTATCTCCAGCACATTGGTGCATTGAGCTGTGCAGCCTTCCCTAATCCACCACACTGGGCCTGGGCTGCTCCTCCTTCTCTTTCTCCCTGTTCTAACGGGAGGATTAATTTTTTAATAAATTTGGATACTCTTTCAGCTTTAGCTGGATAATTCTCATGCATTGCTTAAGCCTTTAGCAGTGTATGGGGGGCAATATTGTCTCTCTCAAGGAAAATGCCTCCCGTGTGATAATGAGGGTGCTTCAGCAGCGTTCCCATGGATGGATTGTGGCACAGAGCTCTTCCTTCCACTGCAGGCAGCTCGGGGAGCAGGTTTCACACCTGCCTCTGCTGTATTTACACCTCTGTTGTTTGTTATTTACGTGGTTCGGATTATATAAGTAGCAGCAGTCTCTTATGCGTGTACCCGGAGGAATTAAACGAATTTGCAGAGCAACCTGCTGGGAACTTCCAAGGGGACAAAGCCATTTTTTGCACACCCACGAGCAGCGCGGAAAACCGAGCTGCAGAAAATGAGGAATTGGGTCTTTTTTTAATATTGTGGGTCTTTACAGCATTGATGCCTTGAAGTCGTTGCTGTTTGAAGTTGTCCAGCTGAGAGCTTTGTGTCAGTCTCAACTACAATTAACGTGGTTTTCTGGGCTTTGAGTGATGACTGCACAACCCACCCTTCTCGTGAGGTTTTTGTTTGGCATTTCACGTTCCTTAACCAAAATGGATTAACTGCCAGCGCTGCCATGGATTTGCAGAGAAGCCTCTCACGAGCGGCGCTGAGCTGTCTCTGTCCCTGGTCGCACCGAGCCGGGGAGAACAGGGCGAGTCATCCTTGGGGGGGGAAAAAAAATAAAAGCACATTTTTGCGCGGCGTGACTCACATAACCGTCCTCAGGAGGCACGAAGCACCGGCGGCCAGCGAGTCCCCGCGAGTTATTCGGAGCACGCGAGACACGCGGGGCGTGGAGGGCAAAGTATGTGGGTTAGGCGCAGCCGCGCTGTGCCGGTGTGTGAACGTTAATTGCGTTAATTGCGTTAATTGCGGGCGAGAGGCGGCGGGGCCCGGCGGGGGCGGGGGCGCGG